GCTCGGCGCCCCGCTGCTCGCCCGCCACCTGCGCCCGCTGCTCGCCGCGCTCTGCCTGCTGGGCCACGGCCCCGCCGCGCGCAACCAGGTCCGCAGCAGCCCCGGGCCCCGCCGGGCCGCCTCGTGGGCGCCCTTGTCCCCTGCCGTGCGCCTTGTCCCCTGCACGGCCGTGGGGCYGCGTCCCCTCTGCTCAGCGCCTCCCGCTGCTGCTCCTAAAGGTGCAGCTTAAAGCGCTCCTACGGCACAGCTTCGCCCGGAGTCCGGTGTCCCTGCCATGGCTGCGATGCCCATGTCCCCGCCAGCCGTCATGCCCGTATCTCCCCCTGTGACTGCGGTGCCCATGTCCGCACCATGGCCATGGTGTCTGTATCTGCCCTCCATGGCTACAGGGCCCATGTCCCCCTCTGTGACCACGGTGCCCATGTCCCCACCACAGCCATGGTGCCTATATCCCCTTCTGTGACCATGGTGTCTCCCGCCGTGATCGCAGTGCTCGTGTCACCCCCCATGACACGAGTCCCCATAGTCCCCATATTCCCCCCAGTCACGGTGCCCACGTCCACCCCGTGGCCACAGTGACCACTGAGGCTGCGGTGCCTGTGTCCCCGGCGCTCACGGTGCCCATATCCCCCTGGGGGTTCCTCCCTTGCAGGGCGTTTCRGAGGAGGAGCGGGCGCAGTGCCGGGAGACCTTGCGGCAGCTCCTGGACCGCGTCTACCAGCCGCTGGCCGTGCAGGAGCTGCTCGTGCTGCAGGGCGGATCCAAGCAGGTACCGCGGCTGCCAAGCACGCGCAGCAGCTCCCCAGCTGTGTTGTCACCCGGGGGGTTTTGTGTCCCTYGCACTCGCGGGTAACGGCGGTGTCCCCGCTCGGGTGTTCACGTCACCCATCGCAGTGTCCTGCAGTCGGCTTTGCTGAATTCCTGGGAGTTTTCTTCTGGGGTGATTGGCATGCAGGTGGGACATGGGCACAGCCACCTTGCTGTCCCGCAGGGCCGAGCTGCGGCCCGTAGTCCCTTTGTGCTGCCGCCGTGAAGGCAGATGGCCGCAGGGCTTCCCCTGCTCCCCGGAGCGCTGGGATGGACGTGACGGGAAGGAGCAGGGTGCTGCAGGGTGCCACATGTCACGTGTCATTAATGGGGGCAGCTGGACCCTGCCCCTTGCCTCCCAGTGCGCTCAGGCGTACTCAGTATGCAAGGTGGCCTTGCACCTGCACTGCTTATTTAATATCGTTCACCACATCTTGCCTTGCAGCAGCATATAGTTTGGTTCTTTCGTGCAAAAAATGCAGCAGAACAGAATGAATATCCTCCTTGCCCCTCCGGGGGTTCCAGCTGCCCCCCTCTTGGCCCAGGGGCACGAGCAGCGCTCTGTTATGGGCACCGAGTCCGTCCYGTCCTGCGACCCTCCCCTGTGCGCCGGCTCAGTAATGAGACAGTCAGGTTTGATGCGTGACCCTGGTATTTTAATTAAAGGGAGAAAGCTCCGCGTGAGAAGTTGCTCCTGGGAAGGCTGCCCCTCTCATTAGGCCCTTTGTGCCTCCAGATGATGGAGTGACTTATTTAAAATATTTTCCCTGTCCTGAGCCTCTGTGTCAGCCRCGGTGCCTCGGGGCGTGGAGCGCTGCGTGTTGCCCGTGGGTGAGGGTTGTGCCGGGGAAAAGGCGCTTCCTAACGAGCTGCTCTGCTTCGTTTCAGAAAGCGGCGCGTCCCGGGGAGGCGGCGGGGCCAGCCCCCGCGTGGCTGCGGCGCCTCTGCGGCCAGCTGCTCTCCGAAAGGCTGCTCAGACCGCGCGGGGTGCACGCCGTGCTGCGGGGCGTCCTGGAGGGCGCGGGCGGTGAGGAGCCTGCTCCCCTTGCCTGCCAGCGTCGCCGGTGGAGAGGGACCCCCACGGGTCCAAGATCTTGCTTCCCATGAGAAGTCCAAGAAGGGCAGCACAATCAGAATCCCAAAAGAGCAAATCGCTTTTATTAGGCTGATTAGCTGCTATACACATTTGCACTGAGTTTGCCTCTGGTTGTGAAGGAGTGGTGAACTCCTCACTTGTGAATGCCTCTGACTTAAGGTTGAAGGATTTTGAAGTCATCACTAAAGGCTGCAGTTTCCAAGTCCCACRGTTTTCATTTCTGAAACCTCTTCCAGTCAATACCAGTCCAGAGAGACCATCCAAGCACCACCTTCCTCTTGTATTTATTTATTTATTGGCTCTTATGCCCATTTGTGCTATTGCCTTCCAGTATCAGAGGTCTCTGACAATCCTTCCTGTTGTCCCACTAAACTTGGGTGTCCTGAAAGACGCTCAGTTTAAAAAGAAAAGCAAAAAAGCCATTTTTTCTCATCCAGAAACATCTGGCTCCAGCCAGAAGCAGCTGTGCGGTTTGGGGTCACCCCGAGCTGATGCTGTTTTTCTGCTGGCCTTGCAGGTAGTGGCGGAGCTGAGGCCGCTGCTGTGGACTGGAAGAAGTGTGACGTGGTTGCAAAGATCCTCGCCGCCTGCCCCCAGCAGTGCCTCTCCGTCGAGGATTACTACACACTCGTGTGCCCTCAGGTAGGCCCTGCTTCTCTGCCTCCCTGAGACCAGAGCTGGGACCACCCTTGCCCTGCACCCTGCTCGGAGCGTGTCTGTGCTGCATTTAGCTAGTTTCTACTTAAATAAGGCCCATTTTAAGCCTGGCTGCTCTGATATTGAGATACCTATCATGGGATGTGTTTCCATCCCATCTTACGTCTTCCCTATTTGATTGAAACGCTGAACAGCGCTGCCTCGTCACACATGCTCTTCAGCACTGCCCTTCAAGGGACACAATGCCCCGGAGTTCCTGCCTCCAGCCTTTGGCTGAGGAAGATGTGCAGGCTGCAAGTGTGAGCCCAGAACTGCCTCTTCTGCTAACGCGTGTGCCGGGAGAGCTGCCTCTGCCCAGCCTGGCGCCGCGCTCGGTGCCCAGCAAAGCAGCATGGAGGCGGCTTTGCAGCCCCTGCTGCTGCGGGGGCTTGGCCGGTGCCCCTCCTTAGGGGCTGCTCACCTGCAATTTCCTTCCAGATCCTGGATTTGCTGCACATCCAGGATAAGCAGACGGCGCGGCAGTTCCAGAGGGTGGCCACCACGACAATTCTCACCATGGCGAAAGGGCACCCTCAGCTGGCGGAGAAGCACCTGCTGCAGCCCATGCTGGCCCCGCTGCTGCGGTGCTCCGATGCTGCAGGTAACTGCTGCGCTTTGCCAGCTCCACGAGCTCCAACCAAAACCCTRATGGGAGAAGCAGGGTCTCATTTCTCTTTCCACTCGTCTTCATCCTCCCCTTGGAGTTTCCTCGAGGACTGTTGGCTACTGTGTGTGCAAGGAACAGTTTGTCACATCTGGACATGTCTCTGCTGCTAGATGCACTGTATTTTCTAGCACTTGTGTCACACTGCTGTAGTTTAAGACTCAAGTAGTAGGATGTCCACCCTTCTCTTTGGGAGACTCTCCMGCACTCTGCTGGTCTTGTTTTGGGCTGCCAGATGGAAGCCATCAATCCCTCACGCTGACTAAGCCACTAACCCCTGGAGAACTTGTGCTGTGCTTTGAGTTATTCATAATCTTGCAGAGTTTTCAGCACCACAGTGTTGTTTAAYACAGGTGCTGGGGGCTTCTTGGTTCCCATGCTGTGCTGATGGAGGGAAATCATGAAAAGCCTCAAACTCCTTTTTGGTGCTGCTGCCTTTGGCATGGTAAAGTTCTCCTGGAGCCCCTCAGCTTGGGCAGTGCTGATACTTCTGCTTTTTGCTTTCAGACGTGGCAGTGGAAGATGTATCAGCTGGGACTGTGCTGGTGCAGGAGGCAGAGCTCAGCAGCTGCGTGGAGGATGTCTTCAAGGTACTGTGTCAGATTCAGCTCTGCGGGTAGGTGAGGGTGCTGGAGAAAAGAGCATTTTGAAACCTTCTGATTCATTCCTCAGTCATTATAACCCCTGACAAGAGTGTCTCTTGCGGCTCTGATGCTGAAACAAGGCTTCGAGTTGCACTGCATGACCTTGTATGAAGTGCTGTGGTGGGAGCACTGCAGTTTTCCGACGTATTCCGGAGGCGTTGCCTTAATCCTCTCAGGTGTCCTCACCCCTCAGTGTTCTGCGGGATGGCACTGAGCCTTTGCGGGCTGGTTTCTTTCCTGCCTGTCTTTCTGGTGCATCACTAAAGAAAATTTGAGCAGCAGTCAACAGTGAGGAGTCTCTGTGGTGCTGTCATGTTCTCTTCCCCCGTTAGCAGCAGCAGGGCTTTGCTCTCACTGAATTGCATGACTTTCCCTGGGATGGTTGTGTCACGAGAGCTTCAGGACTCAGCCTCTTTGGTAGCTCAGATAAGCTCAGAGCCAGCAGCAGCGCCGGCCTCGTGCGTTGGCAGACTTACAGTCACAGGGCGCATTATGCAAGTGCCGAAATTCTGCAGAAACCCTGAGTTTTCCTCCCGGACTGACTCACCCTCCTCTTAGTGCCTCCGCTCCCCTGCTCCGTGGCGTGGGGAATGGGGCGAATGCCACCCACGCGCTGCCGCCGCGCTGCTGCCCGCGCCACGTCTGCAGAGGGCACTCTGAGGCCGAGCGCGGTGCCTTGCCACCGCTCCGCAGCCCTAACCGGCTGGACGGGTGCTTTGTGGTGGTGCAAATGCTCGGGAACGGGCGCCCTGGCGAGGGAGGCGCTGGGGAGGGCGGTGATGCCCCGCGGGGCGTGCGGCCGGCGATGATGCCGCACGTCGGCCCCGGGCGCTGCTGAGGCCGCTGAGCTGTCGCTGGCCGCCAAGGGCAGCGGAGGGCGGCTCGGAGGGCCCACGGAGCCCAGCAGCAACGCAGCCTTTCCGCRTTCCTCGAGCCGCGTGTCAGAGCGCAGGAACCCTCGGCTCTGCCCCAGGAGTCCGTTTTCTCTCAACCTCCATCCARCGGCTAAAGGAATTGCAATGTGTGGGTCCTGCTGCAGCGGGAAGGAGTGTTGTCAGCCTTGCGTGTCYTTTGAGACCTCTTCCAAAGGGCAGCTTTGCAGAGACCTCCCTTTCCTCTTCCTATTCCCTTTCMCCTCGCCATGCCCACCAGCGTTCCCAGTGCCCAGGAAGGGCAGTGCAGCGTTGGCGTTGGCATGAGCACACACCTCACCCTGCATCGGGTCTCAGGAGCCACATGTAGCTCCGTGCAGAACCCGGACCATCAGCGCCTGCTCCGGGCCCCGACGGTGTCTCCGGCCGAGGAACCGGAGCAGCCGGTGGCTGGCTCGCCGGCCCGGCCCCGGCGCGCTAAGCTCGCACACACTGCCATTGTTGGAATATTTTGTGTCCCAGCGGTGTGTTAGAACTGGCTGGCAGGCAGAGACCRGCCTGGAGGGCTGCTCCGTGGCTGCTGTTCACAGGGAAAATGACTCCGGAGCTCAGGGCGGATCCCGCCTTCATGGCACAGCACTTTAGGCCTGACAGCCGTGAGATTAGAGATGGAGCCCGCACATTTGCGGGGTTTTCTTGCTTAGCAAGTGTCATTCGATGCTGGGTGGGAAGCTGTCCTTGGGGCTTCGTCAGGGAGGCTTTGTGTACAAAAGGCTCTGATTAGGAAGGATGGCTCCGTAGGGATTAGCGCAGGCAAAACATCGCTTTGTGTCAGCGCAGCAAGCCAAAATGCTATCAGGAAAATCTCCTTCCTCGCTCATACCTGGGTTGTCTCGGTGCCCCTTGCAGGCACAAGCTCCCTTTGGGATTGTCCCTGGGTATTTCCCGCCCTGAGAGCAGGTCCTTGGGCTCTTGCTGCTGCTCTTGGAGCGTGGATCGTGCCCTGGTTGGAAGGGCAACATCTTCTAATCAGGTAGTTCACTGGTCTACACAGGTCCAGTGCCTTGGAGAGTTAAGAGACACTTTTCTCTAAACTCAGAGGAAGGAGATAGAGCTAGAAAATGTGGATTTGAACATCACCGAAGCTGCAAACACTGAGCCCAGCTGGGCAAGGTTTGCTGTTTAGCACTCCAAACTGAGCTTTCCCAGCATTATGGCATTAATCTTACATGGCTTTTGTACTTGGGCAATTCCTTGAGAGGTTTCACAAGGAACCCATATGTCATAAGACTCCTAGGAGCGCTTTSCGGTGCTCGGCAGGGTGGCACTTGGGAGCAGCTTTGGTTTTGGTTTTGGATGGCCGTGGTTGGGAGGGTTTTTACACCACCTGGGAAGGTGCTGCTTGAGCTGCAGAGGAGCGTGCAGCTCGTCAAGCCCCTGCACCAGCCCAGCACGCGTTGGCCTTGCTGCCCTGCGAGGGACTGATCCCTGCAACTGGCAACTTGACTCTGGAGGCAGCATTTCCATAAGGATTTGCTAACCCCAAAGTGACTAATGCATCTGCCTGTAACTTAAGACTTCCTGAGTAGCTGGGTGCAATGGTCCTCTAGCTTGGAGCACTGCTGCAATTAAGCAAAGTGAGAAGGAAGATGGTGCTCTAGGCTGCTTTTGGTACAGAGTACAGCCTGACCGGTGAAAACAGTCTTCACATTCTCTGTGTCCTCTCTTGGGGCAGCCCTTTCACACAGACCTGCTCGCTGTGCTCTGCTTTGCTCTCCCTCTGCTCCATGCAGCTGTTTGACTCTYCCRTGTGCCCTTCTCCCTCTAGGTGTAYGTAGCTGGGAACGACAGCTCCAGCCTGCTGCTCGGATCCTTACAGCCAGTCCTGGGAGTGATTTTTGCCCTCTACTCCTTCACCAAGCAGAATGCGTCCTACTTACGGTAAGGAAGGATTGTGCAGAAGAGCTGCTGGGATCTCGTTTTCCCTGGGGGCCCAGCTCTTCAGGACGTGTTCTGTAAGGACACACACGCAGCTCCAGACCAGATTTCTTATCCTGAAGAGCTCTCCTTCAARGCAGGCAGAAACCACAGGCCTGCACACAGGCAGAACCTCGCTGTCAGAGCTGTGCCCGGGGAAACGTTTCTCCCTTAGCTTTGCCTTCCCCGAAGCGTGTGTGCTCAGGAGGCAGGCGTGCCTTGCGGAGCACTGGGATCCCAGCATCCCGCTGCAGCTCCTGTACGCATGGCCCGCTGGAACTGGGAGGAAGGAGCRTGTTTGCCCAGGGGCAGAGAAGATGATGCAGGATCTGGCAGGGTGTGGAGGAATTTAGGCAGGGTGAAAACTGGGTAAAAGAGCTTGAGCTCTGACTCTTTGGAATAAAGGATTTTATCCCATGTCTTTGGAAGAGAGGATTCCTCTCTCAGCAGCTATGGTTGTCTTGCTTTGTGCCCCGTTCCCCCCAGCTGATAGGTGATTATAAGCACTGCATACAGTGGTGACGGTGGCAGCAACAGTGGTGACCGGGTGACCCTGTCCTCTCTCCCTTCTCCTCCCAGGTATTCCCTGGGTTGTCCCAAATTCCTTTAAATACAGTCCTGGTAGATTTACACTAATGCTTTGGTGATATTGGCCTGTGGGGACCAGAGATTTTCCCTCCAAAGTCCTGCGTAGATATGGCCTCTGCTATTATTAAAAACATCATTAATCATTTCAAAGAGCAACGAGGGCTCTGGCAAGTTCTTGGAATGAGGCAAGTTAACACTGCTGCTGGGTGAGCAGAATCGCTGCTGGGTTCTCTCCTTACACAGGAATTTGGCAAGGGTGTCTGAAACCACAGCTGCCTGGAAGCGCTTGGGTTTCCAGACCCCTGGCACGGCGCTGTAACCCAATCTCATTAACCTGCATCTCCACTTGGCAGGGATTTGTGTGCCACCTTCCTGTGCGCCCTGTCTCCTTCCTCCTTCCCTTGGCACAGCTGGCAGCTCGGGGCTGTGTCAGATTGGCCTGAAGCGTGAGGTGCTCTGTGCCGAGGCTGCCTGGAAGCGTCTCTCCCTGCACAGACATGCCACGCGGTCAGGGTTCTCCACTCCTTGCTCCTTAAGGATTTAATCCTTCCATCTGTGAATGCTGGAAAGGCGGGACAAGCCCCTGATTTTATAGCTGATAACAGCGCCTCCAGGGCGGGAGGGCRCTCGGCCTGCAGAGCACCCCAGGGAGCGTCCTGGGGGGTTCCTGCCTTCTGCCTGGCCCCGGGGCGCCTTGCTGCGCTGCAGCAGGTACACGCAGAGCGCAGCGTGGTCACTGCTGCCTCCTCTCTTCTCGCCAGCTCGCCCTGCCAGGAGATCCTGCTGTGGTTCTTGGAGAAGGCGGAGCGGGAGGTGTCGCTCTCCATGCTGGAGGGGCTGGCGGGGCTGGAGAGCAGCGTGCCCGTCCTGCACCCCCGGTGCCAGCTCCGCGCGGGCGGCGAYGGCGGCGCTGTGGCGGTGCTGCGAGAGACCATCAGGTGAGAGCGGCCGGGACGATGCCCGGCTGTCRTGCAGCGTGCGGCGCCTTCCGTGGGTGCTGCACACAGCAGAGCGCCTAGCAAACATGGGACAGGGGTGCTGCTCCATCATGGGCTTGTCCCCTGCTGTCCCCGGCTGCAGGCGCTGGCAGCACGGAGCTCTGGCCATGCTTGCCTCAGCCTCCACGGTGCTCGTGCACGGTGCAGCACTGGCTTTCGCTCCCGAAAACCAGCCCCTGCCAGAGCATGGATACCTGGTGTCCGCTTGGCTTTCCCAAGGCCAGAGCCTGGCCCACAGGGCGGTTTGGGAACGGTGTTTTCCTGCCCTCCTGAAGCAGCAGTGCTGATTCCCCCCGTATCCTGGGCCTGTCTGCACTGCATGGAGCGAGCAGAGTCCCTTGGGCACAGGTGGCACCTGTGCAATAAGGACTCTCTGTAGCGATGCCAGYGGAGCTGAGCCAGTGACTGAAGTCCCCTCCTGCTCTTGCAGATGGCCTCTACAAGCAGAGGCAGAGTGTGCCCATGTGGGGAATAAACTACAGCCATTAGACTCCAGCCATGCGAGCAAGAGCTGCTCTCCAGCGTGACATTTGGTTTAGAGAGAGAGCTGTTTTAATTGGCACCTATAAATACAAGCCAAGTCTGTCTYGCGGGCAGAGCACCCAACCCAAGGCTGTCCACTGGGCAGGGGTGGAGAGAGCTGTGTGCACCCATTTCATGAGGGGTGCAATAAAACCCCATACAAATATTCTTATTTCGATTTAATTTCAAGCTCTTTCTCACTTGAACTGGAGGAAGGTCTGCCCCAGGCACACTTGTTAAACTAAATGTGTTTTAAAATCTTTAACAGCTACAGCTCTTCCTGTCTGTCCCACGTTTATGGTTATGGCTGCTGCACAGTTAGCCAGTGCAAATGCAGCTCTTTATAGAATGGGTGGATTAACATGTGCTTTGTATTCATGGTTTCTGTTGCTTCTTAACAAATGCTGGTTAATTAATAAACTGAGTGCTTGGTCATTCAGACTAACCAAACTGAGTGCAGGTTGGCAGCTGCCTCCAGCCTTCGCCGTTCCCTGGTGGCTGGGGGGCAGGCTTGGCCCTTGGAGCACCTTGGCTTTGGCATGGGCACATTGGTTGTGTGCAGGGGAGCCAGGGCCTGAGCTGGGCAAATGCAGCAGGTGCTCAGGGTTCCTGCTGGCTGCTCCTTGCTGCCCTGCGTGCAGCGCGCGCTCGTGGTGCTCTGTCCTCTGAAAGCAGCTGAGCTGCTCTGTGCTCCRAGAGGAGCAGGACGGCGCGGGGATGGTGCCTGGTGTGCTGTTCGGGAAGGAAGGCTTCCCAGGCAAGGCAGAAACAGGATTTCTCCTTGCCTCRGAGCTGTGCAGCCGCGGCTTCGGGTGAGTTAGTGTTAGTGACGTAGTGACCCGTTTCAGTGATGAAGATGAGGCCCTATACCAGAAGGTTTCCTCGGAGCAGTGGCACMTGGAGACCCTGGTGGAGCTGCTGTCCCACTGCCAGAAGAGCGGTCTAGCCGGGGACTTCTTCCTCCGCTGCCTGAAGGTGAGGAGCRCCGGGCCGCGGGCACCCTGCTCCGTGCTGGGGACACGGCTGCAAGGAGCTCTACTCCACCCTGCCCCGTGCATTGGGTAGCAGGTGGCAGAGGGGACTTTATCTGGGGCACGCGGAGCTGCCACGGTGGCAGCGGGACAGTGCTGCTGTGTGCCAGCCCGGGGACAGCCGGGTCAGCAGGGCCCTGCAGCAGCAGCGCGCGGCGGTGGCCAGGGCCATGTCAGCGGCCCCCGTTCCTGGAACTGATTTGCCTGCGTTCAGCTGCTGCCTCCCTTCGTGCTCCCTTCCCCGCAGGCGCTGACTCAGGTGGCTGCGGAGGACGGGGTGGCTGCGGGCACCGCTCCCACGGGTGCAGGGAACCTCCTGGAGCTGGAGCGGCGGCACGCGGGGCACCGGCGGCAGCTGCTCGTGCTGCAGCTCGTGGCCATGCTCTGCGAGGGCCTCTCCGACACCGTGTTCACGGACGTCGCTCAGGTCAGTCGTGGCAGAGCCCYGGGGGTTGGCTGCTGCAGTCTGGAGCGCACAGGGTCACTGGGGTCCTCGACAGCAATTGCCAGAATCACCTGGAGAAAACCAGAAYGCCCCTGTGGAGCAGGTAGAGCTGTGTCTCAGCAAGGCACCACAGCACGCAGTGTCATCAGGAAGGACCGTGCAAGAAGGGTGCAGCTGGGAGGCTGCTCAGCAGACATGTCCTCTCTGTTTTGGCTTGTCTGTTGAAAGCAAAGAAAATGGTCCGTGCAGTTGCCAAATCCCCGTTTGTAACAGTTTCCCATCTTTGTTTTGAGCAACACACTTCCCAAATGTAACCGAGCTCAAAGACCCCAGTGCCCACCAGGCCTCGGGGRCATTTGCTGCGTGTCTGCAGCACTGGTGCCCATTTATCCTGGCGCGTTTCTGCGGCTGCTGCCTGGACTGGGCTGCCGAGAGGCCAGCCGTGAGTGTGCTGGGAATGCAGCGTGGGGCAGGGGCCACGTCCCATTCCTTCCTTAGCATCACAGAGCACGCGTGGCCTTGTGCTGGTTGCTGCTGCTGTAAGACCTGCACCCCATGGTACACACGTCCGCTGGGCTTGGCATAACCGTGTTCGTGCAGTCACCACTTGCATGGGCCTCTTCAATAGGCAGCTCCAGGTCAACTAAATGTTGTCCTTTCGGAGCCTGGCTAAGACACGGTGCCCAGCAGCGAGCGGGATTGTCGGGCCAGCGCAGCCAGGTTACTCTAGTTTAGCTTGCTCATCTTTTTTTGCATTTTACCTATTTCTATTTTCTGATGACCTGAATAGGGTAGCTCTCTGTGACTTGCTTAAGCAGTACAAGTCACTCCATGGGCATTTTTTCCCTCACTTTTCTTTCTGGCACAAGGGGCTCCTTTGTGTGGTGCTCCCCAAGGACCCGCGATGTGCAGCCAGCGTCACCGCTGTCGGGCCCGGGGCTCCAGAGTCCCCAGATGGGCAGCAACGGCCACCCCTTCTCTTCACCCCCCTCTCTGTCACACRCGCATCAGAATGGGACCGGTTCTGGCATTTAAGTCAAAAAGCAGGGAATGAAAAATGATTTTCTGATTCCCATGTCTAGGCAAAGAAAACGAAACAAAAAACCCAAACAGACAAAAAAACTATTATATTTTGAGTGCAAAGTAAATACTAGGTGTGTCATGTTTCAGGGAAAAAAAATCCCTCAGGTTTAAACAGGTAGCTGCATAGCTCTGTTTTTATGTCAGTTCTGTGGTTCATGGTTCTTTGCCTTTTTTTTTCCTTGCTGTGGATGCCACGGAGTGGACTCGCAAGGAGCCGGAATTTGGGAATGGCCGGCAGCGCCGGACCTCTCCCGTTGCACAATGTATTTGATTTTTCATTGCTTCCCCTCRTTGTTCCCACACGTTTTAAGAGATTGGCTCAGTTTCCTTGATAAGGCCTTTGCAATGCACTGTGCTCTCCTATGGCAGCGTACGGAAACGTGCTTCCGTATTTTATTTTTCAGACTTTTTTCTTTTTTTAATATAGATATGAGATAATTTTAACCTTTTGGTTTTCTCCCCAGCTATCCATTGTCAGATTATTCGTTCATGATATTCCCCCTCTTTCATTAAGCATAATTTCCCCCCATTCAGCTCTCATGTCGCTGATTTTTGAGAGCAGATGTTTTGACACCTCTGACTCCCTATTCTTGCTGCTTGACAGCACCTTTTCTGGGCTTATTTGTCGGAGACTCCCTAAGCCTTTTCCGCAGCCTTCCAGTGCCAGCCTTCCTGCTTTATGTGCTGCAACAGGGTCGTGCTTAATGAAGCCGCAGCGCGCGGCTCCGCTGATGAGAAAGCTCGTTAGGTGCCGCGGCGCCGGCGAGCTGACCCTGCAAGGCTGCAGCTGCCTCCGTGGTACCTTGGTGCCGCCTCGTTTGCTTTCTGAAATGGGAGATAGTCCGGGGAGCTGCTCGGGTTTTGCACCATGCCTTTCGAGGGGAAAGGCCCCTCTTGGCTCCTTGGCACGAGGACTTGGGTCCTGCGGTTCGTCGGGGCTGTGCTGCAGCACACAAAGGAGCAAAGCAAAAAGCCCTGCTACTTTCAAGCTTCGTTAAAAACACAGGAAGCTTGTGSGATCAAAGGGTTTGGTGCCAAATGTAGAGAAGGCCAAAGCCAAGCAGGCAGAATCGTTACTAGTCTGAAACGGGAAAAAAAAAGTATTGCAGGGGAATCACCAATATGTGGAGGCAGGTGTGTTGCAAGCGGCCCGTCTTGAGTGCAAGCTGTGCCCCCCTGGCTCTGTCCCTCCATCCCGGGGGAACCTTTGAGCAGATGGATTGGGATAATTGTCAGGAGCTAAAAGCCCCACGGCCTTTTTCTGGAAAAAGGTAGAAGTCTGCAAAATGCCCTAGCCCTGGTTCTCGGTGCGGCCAGAGAAGCGGGCACTGTGCTGCCCAGGAGAGCTCGTGGATGGGCGTGCAGGCGGTAACGAAGTTGGGGCCGTGTTAACTCCCCACTTGACTCTTTTTCTAGCTGGCACTAACAGCATTTGTACTGTTGGTGACCTCAGCCTGTGCAAAGGCCACACGCGGAGCTGCTGCCCTCGGCTCAATGCTTTCCTGGCGCCTCGTGGCGTTCAGCCCGGGCCCTTCCCGGGGCTGCTCGGTTTAGTTTTTCCAGCGTGTGCCTTTCACTAGCAGGAGGCCGCGCTGCCCGGCTCACCCTGACCTCTCTGTGCCCGCAGATCGTGGACTTGGTGGCGGCGACGCTGCAGCGAGCCTGTGCCAGCCTACCGTGGGGCGGCGCGGTGGAGGCACAGACRCTCAGCATGGCCATGGGGCTCGTGGCGGCCGTCATCGGTGGCGCCGTGCAGGTGAGCGAGCGAGGGTGGGGGGCATAGGACCCATCCGCTCATCAGTGCCCTCGCTCCGTTGTGCCCTGGAGCCCGAGCTCTGCTTGAGCAGGGTGCCCGCTCGGYGCCTCCCTGCATGGAGCGGTGCCAGAGCGGCTGGGCTCCTTGGCACGGAGCGGAGCCGGAGCAACCGGGCCCCGCAGTGCCGGAGCAGTGCTGGAGTGGCCGGGCTCTCCTGCATGGAGCGACCGGGCCCCGCGGTGCCGGAGCGGCCGGGCCCCGCTGCCCGGGCCCGTTCCGGCAGGGGCGGCTGCTGCGAGGGCCGGGCTCCCTGGCTCGGCGCGTGGCGCTTCCCGTTATCTTTCGGAAGCGCTCGCAGGTCTGCGCACGTCCCTGCACRGCTCCAGCTCCCGCTGGCATTCCTGGCTCTCTTCCTCCCGCTTGCTCTGTTCATTTAACCCCCAGCTTTTTATAACGCTGTGTGTTTCTGACAGCAAGGCTTCCAAACAGAAAGTCTGAGGGCRTTCAGCAAGGAGGAAAGCGGAGGTGAGGGGCTGCTCTCTTGATTTATTGCTCCTTGCCTCTGTTCTGCAAGTGTGTCAGTCTCTGCTGGTCTCTTGCAAGGGTGCAGGGGGTTGCAGTCCCTCTGAAGGTCAGCAGGACTGTCCCTGGCCCCCTGCCTTGGGGGGCTTTGCCGGGGAGACCTGCTTGAATTCGGGGGATTGGGGGCTCTGCTGCCCCGAGGAGGGCGCGGGGCCGGCCACCCTTGGGAGCCAGCGCCCTCCGCGTCCTTTGAATGCTCCCTTTGAAATCCTTTGTAGAAAAACCATACATTTCCCACTCTGCAGCGTCAGCTGAACAGGTATTAGAGAGCGATGACACGTGATTGGAGGTACTGAGAATCCCTTGAGCTTGCAGTTATGTTGCTTTGGAGGTTGCTTCATCCCTGGATTTGCCCAAAGGAAGACTCAGCTGTTAGGAAAAAATAGTTGATTGTGTGTTATTTGCTAAACTCTTAGCATTAGCAAAAGAGGCATTGCTTAGCTGGAGAAAACCCAACACCATCTCCCAGTGTGGCTTTTGCACAAATTGGGGAAGAAACAGCAGAATCCTATGATTAAAGCAGCAGAAGCTGGTGGATCTCATGGAATTAATGGCAGTGATAGAGCCACAGGTGTGTGCAGAGCAAGGGGGCAAAGTCCCTCCATCGGGCCTGTTTTGTAGATCGACCGGGCTGCTTTTTAGCTAGCGAGGGGTTTTCCTGGGGACTGAGCTCCCGTTATCCRGGCTCCGGGAGCCGGCCCTGCTCCCGGGAGGAGCAGCGTGAGCCCCACAGCGGCTCCGCTCGCGCTGGCTTTAATGGGCCCCCTCCCAGGCGACATCCTGTTCACGCTCCCGGCGTTAATGGAAGCAACTTGACTTGGCCAAGCAAATTGAATGAGAAAGGTTTCCCGGGGCAGCTGGTGCTCGACAGCTGGAAAGCTGCTTGATTTTGAATGGCCAAGGYTTTTTTTTCACATAATCATGCAAAAGCTCTCTTGAAATCTCTGCTAAAGCATCACTTTTCAGGCCTCAATGGCCCCAGTTTTGCTTCCAAGATCTTAGCAATTAAATCCTAAATCCAGTGGAGGGCAGGCTGCGTGTCCTGCCAGGAAAATCCCGCGCTGCTCTGCAGGCTCCCGGTGCAGCTGCCGAGCATTGCGGCCTCCTGTGAGGGGTAAAGGCGAGATGCTGCTGCAGGATGACACCTGTAGTGGCCCTGGCCCAAGGGAGGGTCATGGGGATGTCCCCCATTCAGATGTCCTGCTGGACGTGGCACCTGTCGCAAAGTCACCACATTCGGTGCCATTGGCCCCTTGCACCTTCTCCCACTGGGCTGATCCGTCAYGGTGACGAAGAAGCAGGATCACAAGAGAACTGCCATTTTTGTAGTGCCCAATGCTTTTTTTTTTTTTCTTTTTTTCTCCCCAAAAAGAAGTGTCTGCACCGTGTGAGCACCTTGGCGGCTCAGCACATCCAGTTCTTTCCTGTGCTGAAGCTCCAGAGCTCATCCAGCTCCCCCGTGCGGTGTCTCCTGCCGTGCTCCCCGCTTGCTGAAGGCGCAGGGCAGTGCCCGGGGGAGCGGGGCCGGGAGGGAAAGCGCCTCCCTCGCCCTCCCCAGCAGCCCCTCTCCTCTCCTCTCCTCTCCGCTCTGCAGCTGAAATCGAGCGACTTTGCGGAGCTGAAGCGGCTGCTGCCCGTGCTGGAGGACGTGTCCGTGAGCCACCCCGAGCCTGTCATCCAGGAGCTGGCCGCGGACCTGCGCGCCGCCATCTGCACCCACGGCGCCTTCGCCGCCGGCACCGTGGGCGCCGCGGCCGAGCACGTGCTGGGGAGGACRCCGAGGAGCCGGGGCAGCGGCGCGGGACCAGTCCGCAACGTTCCGGGATCGGCCCCCGCGGCGCCCGGCGAGGACACGCACCGGGAGCAGAGCCCCCGCGCCACCGCCGCAGCCCCAGCATCACTCCAGGAGCTGCTGCTCTCCGCATACGACCCCCAGGTGCCCGTGCGGGCCGCCGCTCTGCGCACTCTTTCCAGCCTGATCAAGCAGCGGGATCCAGAGGGGCTCCGCATGCAGGAGAAACTCCTGCAGGTACCAAGCAGGGGTCGGTCCTGCCAGGCCCACCAAGTTGCAGGGCTGGGCTGTCCGTGTGCGCGGGGTTTCACGCCTGCCCTCTCCGTCCTTGCAGGTTTTCCTAGAAAACYTGCAGCACGAGGACTCTTTTGTCTACCTCTCTGCCATTCAAGGTGAGTGACACCTCACGTGGGGACATGGGGTGTGTGGTGCTGCTAAGTGCTTCTGCAGAAGGAAATGTTATTAGGCTGTGAGCGGCTGCGACCAGCCGTCCTGCCACAGAGCACGATGCCAGGCTGCTCTGCAGCCTGCTTCCCTAGCTTCCCATCCGCTTCCCTAGCAGCTCAGCAGTTTTCCTACTATTGCACGTGGGGCTCCTTGTGCCCGAGTTGGAGCGTGGGGAGCCGCGTGACGGCAGCGCTCGCCGTGCAGGTGCATCCCGCAGCGCCGTGCACTCGGGTGTCCGGCGTAGCAGTGGCTCCCGCGCTGCTGCCTCCCGCACGCGGTCACAGAGGCTCGGGGCAGCATTGCCCGACCCCGGGGCACAAGCAGAGGTGCCGAGCAGCCCCACGGGCAGCRGGGATGTCCCTGGGGCAAGGAGAGAGACTCCAGGTTGGTGCAGGCGGTGAGGAAACGCCGTTCCCGCTGCGGTAACCGACGCAGCGGAGCAGTCACCTCCGACCACAGCTGGGAAGGGCGCCCGTGGAGCCGCCTTGCGCGCCTGCCTGCACGGTCTTGAGCGGCCGGGCTCGGCCTTGCCCCGCAGCTCCTGGGGAAGCGGCCGCTGGCCGGTGATTAACGCGGAGCTGCAGCTGCCGTGCGGAGCCAYGCGGCCCGTTCCGGCCGCGGCGCTGAGTCACGGGGCGCGCGCCAGGACGCTCCACGGTGCAGCCCAGACCCCGAGATCGCGCCGCGAGCTGCCCGCGAGCTGCGCCCGGCCGGGGCAAGCCCCGGGTGTCTGCCTTGTCAGCTAGATACCGGGGCAATGAATATTAACTAGCGCTAATTAGCGGGCACCTGCTGCCAGCCGTTCAATAATTTATCTCTGCAATTGGCCTGTGCCTCGCTGCAGCGCTGACTGCCTTGGCGCCCGGCTCTGTGCGGAGCGGCTCCGTGAGCCATGTCCGTAACCAGCGGCACGAGGCTGCCGGCTTCGCACGCCGGCCATTCCCAGCCCAGCTTATCTGCCGGCCGGAGCCCGGYGCCGCCGCGCGCGATAGCGACGGAGAGGGAGCGGGGCGGTGGGAACGGCGCGACCGGGAGCGCTGGGCAGGCACCGCGTGCGGGCGAGGAGGCCCCAGGCTGGAGCTTTCTAGCCCAAGGCAGATAATAAATGCAGCTTGGGAAGGGCGGTGAGTCAAAAGGGACGGATGGGCTGAACTTCACATGACTCTGCCGCGTTCCCGGTGCCTTTGGAGTGCYGTGCAGCCACCATGCCTCCCGTTCCCAATCCTGCCCTTGTGCCGCACCGCCTAAGCCTCTTTCCTGGCAGTGGGTGTTGCTTTGGAATGAGCTGGGACCCTGCCCTTCTCCTGCATGGAACRGCAGCGTTCCCTCTTCTCCTTGCTCCCCCATGACTGCCGGCCGGGCATTTTTGCAGCCGAGCGTGTCCTTCCCCTGTCAGGTCTCTGCCTGGGGGTCCTGAGCGTGGCTGCACTGCTCAAGGAGTGGTGTCCAAGGATGCTTTAAGGAAAAGGCAGCGCAGAGGGATTTAACGTAGCCAGGGGGCTAGGGAGGAGGAGCTGCTCCCGTCCCTCCGTGCCCGGCTCTCCTGCCGTCCCAGCAGGCAGGAGGTAGGACCAGCTCCATGGGTGTTGCAGGGGACAGAGCGTGTGGGACTGCAGACATAGGGCAGTGGGGGAGCCCTGCAATTGTGTGGTGGGGACACCCGTGCCACCAAAGGGGCTTGAATCCCCCTCGCTGTCGACTGATGTCGTCTTGTGCTAATAACGAGGCTTTTCCCATAACCTGCCCTTCCTAATCCCAGCACAGCCTCTATCCTGGGGCTCCTGCCTTCTCCGGAGCCCCTGTGCCGAGAGCAGCCCCTGGGAGACAGTGCCTGGAGCCACGTCCGTGGCACGGAGGAGCGGGAGCAGCCGGGCCCTTTTCCAGCGCCCGGAGCCTTTCCTGGCAGCAGCGACTCAGTCATCAACAGAGCCGGGGGTGGGCAGAGGGGTCGTGTTTTGCAGTGCTGGCACCAGCTTTCCCACCCCCGGCGCGTCCACAGAATCCCTGGGGCTGGAGCCTGGGAGCACCTGGGAGCTGCACCTTCGCCGGTGCAGCCAGCGAGGCCAGGAGGCTGCATGCAGGAGGCAGGAGCCGCTGGAGCAGGGGGCAATGGGGGATAGGGATGATGGACTGGAACCTGCCCACGCTTTCTGCAGCTGCTCCCGGTCCTCGAGCTCTCCAGTGCCGGCAGGGCTCTGCTCTTCCCCCTGCCCGTCCTTGCCCGATTCCCGTTTCCCTCCCGACAGGCAGGGCTGCTGAGCCCCCAGCCCACACTGACACCTCTGTGCTCTGCCCCCCAGGTGTTGCCCTGCTCTCCAACGAGTACCCGGAGCAAATCCTGCCGGTGCTGCTGGCCCAGTACGGGAGCGCGGCGCCGGGCCCGGCGCAGCCCGCGGCCACCCGCATGAAGCTGGGCGAGGTGCTGATGCGCACGACGCGCGCGCTGGGTGAGTGGGGCCGCCGGGGCTGTGCGATCCCGGGTGCACCGGGATGCTCCGGTGGCTGCCACGCGGATACAGCCGGCACGTGGGCTCTGCGGGTGCTTCGTGCTCCGCCTGTCGCGGGTGGCTGCGGTTCGATGTGCTGAGCACTGTGCTGAGCGGCCCTGGGCAGGAGCACGAGCGAGGGCTGCCCGGGGCCGCGCGCTCCGGGACGCCGCAGCCGGCAGCACCGCRGGCCCAGGAAGCGGCAGCGAGATAAGCAGCCCGGCGCCCGCGGCGTTGGCAGAGCTCCACGGCACTCTGGAAAACCCCGCTGAGCTGCAGCCTGGAAGGAGGCGCGTGTCACCCCGGGCCGTCCCTTTGGGGCTGCTGCAGATACGGCTGCCCCTTGGGCCACGGTGCACTGGGGTAGCACCAGCTCCCTGGAAGTGCCCAGGCGCGCCGCACTGGGGGTGAGCGCGGGATGAGGTCCCTCCGTTGGGACTCACCTGCGGTCATGCGGTGCTTGTCCCACCACAGTGGGCGATGCAGAGCTCTGTGCGCCAAGAGCACGGGCTCCTGCAGTGCCACAGGCTGCAGAGCGGCTCCTCCTGCCCTGCACACACATGTGCCTGCACACACATGTGCCCGTGCACACATGTGCCCGTGCGCGCTGTCCCTGGGGGCTGGTGCTCCCCTGCGCTGCGGGTGCCTGGCCGGGGCCGATGCCGCTCAGCGCTGAACCATGCGAGCAGCGACCGGTGCTGCTGTGGCCTGCAGGAGCAGGCGGCAGGGCCGGGCCTGCCCAGCCCTCGCACGGGCTATTTTTGACCCTAACGGTGGTGGCGGCGGCAGCCGGGCGCCGCGGGGCACGCGGCAAAGCCCCGCGTTGCTGGCGCGGGGGCGCTGCCCGCAGCCCCGGCCGGCGCGGCGCTCGCCCCGCCGCTGCGGCGGGCGCGGGGCTTTGTTGCCCTGCCCGGCGCTGCCGGCTGCGCGGCGCGAGCGGCGCTGCCTGTTCGGGCAGGACGGTGCCTGCGTGCCCCGCGGTGCCGCTGCACAAAGACGGGAGGGGAGGGAAGGCTCGGCGCGCTGGGGCTGCACCGGCTCGCAGAGCTCGCCGCTGGAGCCGGGCGCAGAGGCAGCAGCTCCTCCCCGGCTCCAAGTCTCCGYGGCTTTTACCGCCCTGGAGGCGCGTGCAGCGAGGCTCTGTGTGAGCGGAGCTGCTGCAGCCGGGGCGGCCCCTGAGCGCGGGTGGGCTGCGGCAGAGCGCGGGCCGCTCCGGGAGCTCGGGCGCGCGCCCGGGCCGCGCTGCCGCCTGCAGTGCCCGCGCTGCACGATTGTGGTGGCACCAGCAGGGCCGCGCGGGCTCTGCCGGCGCCTCCCCGCTCCCTGTGCCAGAGCCCGCTCCCCCGCCGGCACCGCGCCCGGCCCGGCCTCGCCTGCCTGCGTATTTATAGACCAAATTGCATTAAGRGATTTGGGGTTTTTTTCCCATTGCAAAGCTGCAGCGTTCGAGGCTGGGGAGGGATGCGGCGCTTCCAGGAGCGCCGGCTCCGCGGCGGAGCCGACTGCGCCTTGGAGCACGGCCACGGCTCGCTCGGCACTGCTGCGGACAAGGGGGACGGGATGGGGGTAGCGAGGGGCCCGGGGGCTGCGAGGGGGCAATGCGGGTGCCCGGGCAGCCCCGCGCGGCTCCACCTTCCCGCYGGGCAGCTCTTCCCGTCTCCGAGGGCTCCTGACGAATTTGCGTCATTGCAGTCGGTTTTCGTGACGAATGCCTGCAATCGGCTCCAAGTGTGTCAAGGGAGACGTTTCCCAATCCGGGAGCGTTTGCCTCCTGCCCGGTGAGGAAGGTAGACCCATTGTTCCCGGTCCACCTGCTCGGACGCCTGGGAGCRCATGGAGCTCCAGACCATGGCGGGAGCAGGGCTGAGCTCGTAGGAGCCACCGGAGCCTTTGGGAGACACCCCGGCACCCTGCGCTCTGCTCAGTGGCTGGAGCAGCCCCGTTATAGAATCACAGAATGGTCGAGGTGGRAAGGAACYTCTAGGGATCATCTAGTCCAGCCCCCTGCACGCGCAGGGTCACCTAAAGCACGGGGCACAGGCTGCATCCAGGCGGGTTGGGAAGATCTCCAGAGAAGGAGACTCCACAGCCTGTGCCAGGGCTCTGCCACCCTCCCTATTAAGAATTTTTTCCTGAAGTTCCTGTGGAACTTTTGGTGCTTCAGTTTGTGGCCGTTTCCTCTCCGTTACACGGGAGCTGTTTGCTGGGAGGCCTCCGCTCGATGGGGAGGCCCGGCCGGTGCCCGCGGGGCCGCGTCCCTGCTTGTGCATGCGGCTCACGCGCTGCACACACGTCCACCTAACGAGCCGGCTCGCACATCGCAGCGCCCGCATGTGCTAATTGGCCGGGGCTCTGCGCCCACGGACGTGCGCGYGTCGTTCCTATGGCTCTGTGCTGCCGCGGGTGAGCGGCCGGGCCCTGACCCGCGTTCCCTCTGCAGGGGACATGGTGACGGTGCACGGGGCCGCGCTGCTGCACGCCTTCCTGCGGGGCTCGCGCGACGCCGAGGCCGCGCTGCGCGCCAGCAGCCTCTCCAACCTGGGCGAGCTGTGCCAGCGGCTGCGCTTCCAGCTGGGCGCCGTGCTCCACGAGGTACCGCCCCGGCCGGGGGGCCGCAGGGAGGGGACGGGGTGCCGCGCGGGGGGCTCGGGGACCGGCTTCGTTACCGGGTCCATTTGCCACCTGGTTCAGGGCCACTAAACCCTGTCACTTCCACACAGCAAGTGCGTTCACGGCTGAGCCTGCCTACCGTGACAGTTGCTGGCTTTGCGAAGTAACAGCATCATTGTTGTCACTRAAGCGATCAGCCCCCTCGGCTTGGGCGCTGCCACTGCGTTAGCGAGGGGCTCGGGCAGTGTCCGGGCAGGGTCCCGGCCACACAGCCCTCCCGGGGCYGACGTGGCACCTCGCGCTGCTGACGCCCCCGTGTCCCYGCAGGTGACGTCCTGTGTGACTGCCATAGCCAAGACCGACCCCGAGGCCGAGGTGCGGAGAGCGGCCGTGCACGTCGTGGTGCTGCTGCTCCGGGGGCTCAGCGAGAGAGCCACCGAGGTGGGTCACCGCGTCCCCATGGGGTCCCCCCATGTCCCCRTGGGGTCCCCCCGCAACCCCACACGGAGCCCTCACATCCCCGCCAGGTCCCTCTGTGTCCCAGCAGGGTCCCTGGGGACCTCCCTGGCGCTGGGGAGCTGCTGCCGCCTCCCTTCTCATCCCTTTCCCGGCTCAGCAAAGCTGGGTTGCCAGCGCTGGGTTGCAGCAAAGGAGTGAAACCCCATTCCCTGCTCCCGTTCCCGGCTCCCATTCTGTAGATTCCTCAGGCATGGTTTGGCTTGGGAGGACTGTTTCCCCAGGGCTCTGGATTCCCACTTCCTTCCCTGCTACTCAGCTTCCCTGCTACTCAGCACTGGGACTGGGGCTCCCTTCCCAGGAAGGAAGGGGACTGTTCCCACGGGAATCCCCGGAGCGGGATGTCCCAGGAATTGGCTCCATGCTGCCAGGGAGTCTGGAGCCTGGCAGCCGGCAGGGAGCCAGGGCGACTTGGCGCACGGAGCGGGAAGCTCCACGGGAGCGGAGCAGGGAGGGCTCCGCAGGTCCCCACGTGGCGCTGGGCTCCTCAGGCTGCCCCCCTGGCACGGCACTGCGGAGCCTCCCGTGCTTCGCGCCGTCCCCTTCCTGCTTTGTGTCCCGTAGCCAGGGATGATCCTTGCATGTGCTTGGGATGCACCTGGAGCTGATCCCCGTGTTGCTGGGATGCACCCGGAGCTGATCCCCCCCACATCTGGGAATGCACCCAGAGTTGAATCCCCCTGTGACCTGTAGATGCACCCCAAGTTGATCTCCCTGTATTCCCAGGACCAATACCTGGAGCTGGGGCGCTCAGCGCCCTGAGCGATCAGGGGTGCAAAGAGCCTCTTGCTGCCACCCATGGGAGAAACAGAGTCTGGGGGTGGCAGGACAGGACAGGGCTCGTGGGGCCTGGGGCCCGCCGGGGACTGACAGACCCACTGTCCGGGCACGCAGGTGCTGGGGGACGCCCTGCGGGATCTCTACCGGCTGCTCAAGTGGGTGGTGGCCATGGAGAGGGACGGCGCGGCCGTGCTGCACGCACAGCTCGCGCTGGAGGAGCTCGACGAGGCCGTGCGCAGGCAGCTCTTCCCGCCGCAGAGCCTGCAGAAGAGGATCGTGGTGCTGCCCTAGCGCCCCGGGCACGGGGACGCGGAGCCGGCACRCTGACACCGGCCACCCCTGCCCTGCGCTCGCTGCGAAGCTACCTGGGCAGCACYGGCCACTGCTGCTCTGGCCATGGACAATTAAAAAGGAAAATTCCTCAGCAGTGTGTCCGTGTGTGTCCCTGGGTCCGTGTGTGTCCCTGTGTCCCCATGTGTCCGTGCATTGCCATTTTGGGAGCTGTGTGGGGCCACTGGCACTGGGTGCCAGCCRCGTCCCTCTTGCGCTGCGAGCAGCAGCAGGCGCTGGGCGAGGGGAGGAAGTGCCCGGGTTTGGGGTGAATTTGGACACTGGCCTCTGAGCTGGCCCTGGGTAGCAGGTGGCACCCGACAGGGTCCCTGGCTCGGGGAGGTGGGGTCACGTGGGGCTGGTGCCTCAGGGGGTGCCAGAATCCCTGGGTGCAGAATGGACCCTGTCAGCCCAGGAGCCCAGAGACGGCTCCAAGGGTCCCTGCGGTGCCTCAACATGGTGCTCAGGGACATCCCCGCACTGGGGCTGGATGCTATGGGGCACTGGGCTGGCRCAGCCCTTGGGGACATCCCTGCACTGGGGCTGGCTGCTGTGGAGCRCGGAGGCAGCGCCGAGGGTCCCTGCAGGGCTGGGCTCGGGGCCGTCCCTGCGCCGGGCTCAGCGCGAGCGCCGGGGCCGCGCAGCTCCACGCAGCTCCACGCAGCCCGCGGGGC